TATAGGCTATCCAATAAGGTGAAGTAATTGTATAAATGGTTAATTTATTCTTATTGAAATACTTGTCACAAGTATATTGAAATTCAATCTAGCTACCAATTCATCAAGCATCAAAAATTCGAAAAATACGATCCATCATATGCGAGTCATACCCTATTTCAAGAAATCGTGACTTGCTATATTTCAACAATATTAAAATTTGAAACATTGAATGCACGATAAGCATCCATAAATCCCATGGTAAGTACACTATCTATCACCAAAGATTCAAAAAGCAATCAATTGTGGCCGAATAGGGGCCAAATTTTCTATGTAAAGAGCAAGAGACCTAACATGCAATTCTAAACATGAAATACTAAATTGAACCGAAAAAGTCATGATTCAAGGTCCTAATTCATCTAATGAATGATCATGGGTACATTGATTAAAATCAACTAACAAAGAAAATCACAAAACATGAAAGAAGAGAGAGAAAGTGGTGGTGGCTTGGTGATGGTGGTTACCGTCGTCGTACATGCTTTCCACACTATGCGTGAACCATATTGCAACAACAAAATCAATGTTGTGCAACATCAAACTTGTAACGCAACAGAATCATCCAAACAACACAAGTAAAATCATTAACAATAGTCAAGAAATAATGCGCCCCAGACATGGAAGCTTTCTTATAACTTCCCAAAACGTCAACATGTATAAGTTCAAAACAAAAACTAGTCTTAATGCTTTCGGACTCAAAAGGTTCACGAGTTTGCTTAGTCCTTAAACAAGACCGACACGACTCTTTATTATGTATTAAAGAACAATCAATAGAACTCTCCAAAATGTGTAGCTTCACCACTGAAGGATGCCCAAGACGTGAATGGAACAACTCTGTACTATCCAAGGACCTTGGAACTGAATGCGCCAAAGGGTGTTCTTGTGTGAACAAAATAAGATAATACAAGCCATCAACACGCTTACCCATCCCAATCAACCTCATGGATGGTAAGTCCTGAATTACATAGAAAACATTCAAGAATATTAATGCAACAGGAGGTCTATTGTAGGCGTACTGATTGAGAGTAGGTTGCATTGAAAATCTAGAACATGAAGAAAGAGAAGTAATTACAAGTTTTTAGATAACTTAGTCATTCTAATACTACGAACTTGAACACTAGTGCCATTTGGAATCCAAGAAAGAGGCACACTTAACTATATGCTCGTTACATCCCGAATCAATAATCCAAGACGTTGAATTTATCAAAAAAGTACCCGCCATATTCGAAAAAGTGATTAATGAGGACTACAAAAGATGCTATAAATCTCTACTCCGTCAAGTTCACTTGTGCTACATGTGGCAAAAGACAAGTACCACGGGTTGTGGGGCTCCGAGCCTAGGTTTGCTTCCCCTTATCATCGTTTCACTACAGAAATCTAATGAGTCCGAAGCATGACTACTTAAGATGACTAGTTCGACGACATAGTGTGCACTAGCCTTTACATCGGCATGATGCTCCGTCTTGTGGTCATGAATCGGGCCTAATTGTACATGTTTTACCCCTGTGTTCCTTAGACGTTTGTGGCAATTTCGCTCCTAAAAGGGTGGTTTACGCTTGGTTTTTCGTGTTTTAGCATGTTTCAAGATTTAATAGGTAAAACTATCCCCGGAGTCGAAAGTTAGACGAAAAGGAGCAAAAACAGGGAGAAGAGGTGAAAAACGGTGAGTTCACGGCTTTCCTTCGATGTTCACGGTCTTGTATGACCGTGAAGAAGAGCCGTTGACCATGAACGTCAAGGCGTCCAGAGTATTTCCAGAGGTTACTGACGCTAGGCGAGTTCACGGTCACTAAGACCGTGAACTGGAGTTGTGGACCGTGAACACGTGCAAGCAAAGCGATGCGTTTCGATGCCCCATCTTTAGTTCACGGATGCGTTTCAGAGTTCACGGCCGTGAACTTAGCACGATCCATGTTTAATTGAAGAGCTGAAAGGAAGAGAGAAGGGAGAGCCCTAAGTGTGAGAAAGTCTTCTTCAGATTTTAGAGAGAGAAAGACAAACCAAAGGAGAATGAGGCTAGGGTTTTGCTCCAAGTGGTAATTTGGGAAGATTCTCCCTAAGTGAAGTTCAACACAAGTGCCAAGAAGATTGGAAGCCTCCTTCATGATGGTTTCTACCTCTTCCTCTTGTGTTTCTCCCACTTCTAGCATGGAGTAGATTTCTTTTCACTTTGGTATTATGAAACCCTAACTATCTACCATGTAGTTTTTGTTATTTGAATTTAATGATTGTTTATGGGTGTTGTTTAATTCAATGATTGAGGTATTATTCATGTTGATTGTGCATATTTTGTGCTTAGCAATCTAATTGGACACTGAACCTAGATTAGAGAGGGAAAACCCCCTTTCATGGGAGGCTCAATTGAGTTGGTATTCCTAAGGCTTTTTAAGTCACCTATCTAGGTTAATTTAGGGAAAACCTCGATGTTGAATTAAGCAACTTGGTTAAGCACGATTAAATCGACCAACCTTTGGGTTGAGTGAGGGAATAAGTCAACCATCGATTGCTAAACCGAGAGGGCCGAGTGACAACCTATAATGTATCCCTCGATTTAGCAATCGAGAGTGTGGTCTACGACCAGATTTGCCTCCCCTATCGGTTCGCGGTCACCTTGCCCATAACAATCATTTTGGTTCACATACCATGGTAGTAGTTAGGGGGAATCAACACCCGAGTGATCCTTCTCACAAAAGAGCTTTCAAAATCATTTACTTTTGCCTTGCTTTACTTTAATTAGCAAACTTTTCAACTAAAACCGAGTCATTAGATAATAATTCAAATGACTGAAGTAGGGGTAGACAGACCAACCCAAGTCGATATTTAAACATACTTGCCCTGTATTGCACCCGAATAAGGTTTATACTTGGACCTTAGGCGGGAATTAATTGTGGTATTCAGGACGAGTCAGGTCATGATCAACAGGGAGTAGTTGGAAATCAGACCCCTTCTCACCTAGGGCCTTAAAAACAGCTACCTCAAGTCAGATGTTAGCGATTTGGCAATACTGCTCGTCATTTATAACTAGCTGATAGGATTCCGCAAGGGTAGGAATGGGCTTCATAGCCAATATCGAGGATTTCACGGTCGAAAAGACATCATCTAATCCCATTGAAAAATCCAACAAGCATTCCCCCTCTAGAACTTCACACTGACCCCGCTTGACGTTGCAATTACATTTTGAGCACGTGCACTCCAGAGAGGGTGTGAGAGACTGAATATCATCCCACAAAGCTCTCAATTTTGTGTAGACTTAAGAAAGAGAGCTTTTCTCTTATTGAAGACAACTAATGATCCGTTTCAAATCGTAAAGTCGTGGGCATTTCCTTGCCCGAACTTGATTTGAGTTCAACCCGATCTCTCGAGCTGTAGATGCAAATCGCACGTTGTTACTTACCTCCTTTGTCATCGAGGTCTTCAACCATCCTTTCACCATTGCATTGCAATGACGCAAGACATCCTTTTCAGTAGGGGACTTCTCTATTAGCAAACTTCAATCAACAAAGAATATTTTGTTATTCGCTATAAGTGAATCAGCAATATCCATTACTCATTCTCCATAATAAACATCGGTCAATAACTCCCAAAAAAAATTGCTTGGGCTATCAGACTGATGAAGATGCATATGCGAAGGTAAGGTAACTCGTGCTTCGGCATAACCTTCCAACGACTTCTTCTATGTCTTCCTAGACTCTTCCTCATCCGAACTAATGACGAATCCTGGAGGATCTAATCACAACTTTGATATCGTGTAAAAAACAAAAGAAACATAAAGTGAAAAGAACATGAGACTAGATCTGCGTGGTTTCCCCGCGCAATATCCATCTACTACATCTACTACCAATTACCACTCTGGTATAGTGTGTAGTATATTTGGTCTTAAATTTTTTCAAGAAATATATCAAATTCTGAAAGGAAGTTGACAATCCATGCCAACAAGTAACAAGCTAGCCCACTGGAACCAGATTACAGAACCTATACAACTCAGCCCAGCTCACAAGTGACAAGCCAGCCCACTGGCATTCCAAGACTAGCCCACCCCAACCCATAATCTCAGCCTAAGTCGATCTCCTTCTCCTTTCTCTGTCGCATCCTCTGCCTAACCAAAAAGAGGACGCAACACTGCAGCAACGGCCAGCTGACCACGAGCCCAATCTTTCGTCGCTATGAGCACCTCCTCGTCGAAGAGAAGAGAATAAGAAGGCATAGTGGCCCTTGTTGCTCGACGCAGCGGGGGAGAAGTTGAGATCGACAGTCGCCTTCCTAGAGACAGATCGGTCTCCGTCATGCCCAGACCGGCCTCTGTTCGTGTTAGCTCAGTTCAGAATTTGGGGTCGAAAAGAGGACGCAGATGGAAGTATCAGTGTGGGGGAAGGAGAGAGAACAGAGATGGTAGAATGGAGAGAAGAGGCAGATGGTAAAAGGATAAGATGGTGGAAGTCTGGAGGAGGTGATTGGCGACGAATTCTTTATGATTGAAAAAAACTAGTGTCAAACAACAAACTCTGAAGGCATAGTCAGCTTGTGTTAACACCAGATCGGGACAAGGACTAGATAAGACCGGATCTGGTTAAAACCACATGCTATCCATTCCAATTTTTAGTCTCCGTATTTTAAAAAACTCAGTTTAACCGGACTGGACCGGATAGTCATCCCTATCCTGCAAGAGATTCAAGTGTTGCAGACTTCGCTCTTTCATGCTAAGTTCCATTTTGCTCCATGTAGATATAATAGGGCTGCCCTTTTCATGGGAAAACAAGCCCTTGTTGCGATGATTCAAACATTTGACGAAAATCATATATATTTTTCTTATTTCAATTTTCTTAATCCTAACCTTGTTAAACGTTATCGTATCTATACTGCTTTCTTTCAAGAATATATATGAGAAAAAAATGCTAACACATATATTTGGTCAACGTAGAAGACAAAACTAGCATACAACCGAGAAGATATTGGAAGATAACGACTTGAAATATAGAAGACTACAAATTTATACTTAAAATAGTCTTTGCAAAATATTAGATATATGTATATATCAGAAACCATAAAATGGAAAACTATCAATTCCTCCTCAGTATTCCCAAGCAGCTGCATTAAAGCGAGCTTTGAATATAGCGAGAAGCTCGTCCCTGGGAGGGAGAATTGGCTTCACCACACTGTGCCCAACAAACTCATCCATCCATTTGCACAGCACTGGAAACTTGTCCCTAGTCACCAACTCCATCCCAATCGCTTCTTGGACCAGCCCAAGCCAATACCCAATGAAGTTGGCAGCTATATCCACCATCCCAATCTCTTCTCCTCCAAAGAACTTCTTGTCCTTCAGCTGACCTTCAAGTGTTCCAAAGTGCTGCAACACGTCCTCCACCAATTCCCCTCTTTCCTCCTCTTTGCACCACATAATCTTCCACACCCCCTCATTGCACTGAAGAAAAACCATGTAAAAAAACATCATAAATAATGGTTTGTCGAGTAGTTCATTTTGATAACTCGACTTGCTATGGAAAATGGCACAATATAAATGTTCTTAACCATTTTTTACAATTGTGAACTACACGTACCTTCTCATCGATGAACTTAGCCCAAAATCGGGCCATGGCTTTCTCATAGGGATCGTGGGGAAAGATGGAGTTGTGGGGCCATGTTTCGTCAATGTATTCTAGAATGACTAGAGATTCAACTATAGGTTTACCATTGTGGATGAGGACAGGGATCTTTTTGTGAACTGGGTTGTAGTCGAGTAGCAATTGACTCTTGTTGGCGAGATCTTGCTCAATGCATTCGTAATCCACGCCTTTAAGTTTGAGGGCGAGTTCTACCCGCTTGCTGAAAGGGCTCCCCCACGATCCTAGCACCTTCACTTGTTCCGCCATTTCACTCAGATGGGTTTGCTGATCGATCTGCAGGTCTAGGATTGCGGTATGAAGCCTTAACTAGCTAGCTAGGAAGGCCAGCTATAAATACAAAAAAGAGCGGTGAGTCAAGGTATTCTACTGGTGTTTTTTTTTTAAATGAATAGTTCTGCTGGTGTTGAGAATAAAAAATAAGGAAACAAAAAGAAGATTTCTTAGCGAGAAAGATACGTTGACTAGTCAATTGTCAACTGTAGTGGTAAATGAAGGCACTAATTGTTTTTCTAAGAGAAATGTTCTTCGTCATGCATGATGCAAATTTCTGTCTGCCCCACCGTTACTCATCATTTTACAGGTTAGAGTTTATTTGTTTTTTCTACCGCCGTATACTTATCTACAGTTAGACAATAATTTGAAGTGCACGCTGAGTTAAGTTAGATTTCCCCCTTTTGGATATACCAAATAATTAAAATCTTCTATAATTTAAAATGATTTATGATCGATAATTACTGTTGTCGGGTAAAATATTTCGAGTATTACTAAATTATGAGAATTGGGAGAGCTATACCATTTAAGTAAGAATAGGGCATCGTGTGCCACTCAACTTTATTATATGTGTATCTTATACCACTTAAGTTTATTACTAAGTGCATTCCGTTAAAGTTTATAGAATATTCCATGAATATTCCATTTCTAAATTTTAGAATTGGTCATTCTACTATACTTACAGTAAAAAATTCTTTGGACGTAAGAAAAAACATGTTTTCTTTATTGTTTAGTTGGAATCTTTTTTAAAAGATATGACACCAAAACCATTTTGAATAGGAAATTTAGAATCAATTACTATTATAAGTATTTTCGATTATAATTATGCGTTATAACAATTAGATTATTCCCTATGAATTTTTTTAATTTGAAATCATGTTTTAAAGACTGTGATACCAAACCAATTTTTGAATCAGAATTTAATAATCAATTATCAATAAAAGTATTTTTAATTATCAATATGTGTTCTAATAATTGAATTATTATCTGAAGAAATATATCATATGAATTATGTCTCGGTATAAATAATCAAAGAAAGTTATATTTTTAGTTCATGCTGATGTTGTCTAAATTTCAGGGGCGGAGCTACATTGAAGCCGGGGTGCCCCCTAGAGTAGTCCCGATCCCTAAGACCTTAAGTATATTTAGTACAAAATTTATAAGTACAGCTTGTTCTGTAAATTTTATCAAGTAATATATTGTACTCTAATGGTATCCAACCTTAACTTTTGCTTAGAGCACATGAGTTCGATTCCCATCTGCCAATTAATTTTGCTCTCCTTGTCATTCCCTAAAAAAAACTGAAACATTTCATACCCCCATAATAATTCCAAGTCCCAACTCGAAATGGATAAATAAATCCTTATTTATTAGCCATCCTAAAAAGGCTAACCCTAGTCCGCTAGTTTTGTTGTCTTTCTTCCTCTGCTACACCCTACAACGTGATAGGAAGCCAATCTTTTGTCATTAGCCGCAGATTGATACAATCCGCTATTCTCTAGAATCATCAGCAAGTCGAGTATGTATAAACAAATCAAAACTACCTACTTATATAGATACTACAATTCTGATTTTGTTTAGTTCCTTTTTGTTTTGGCATACGATACAATTCTTCTCTAGTTTTTATTGGATAAATACAATATAGTTTTGATTTTTTTCTTTTATTGTTTTGTTTTCGGCTACAACTTGTTTAGTCTTTTCAAATATTATTCTCCAAATAATAATAGCATCTTATATTTTTCAGCGAATATGAAGAGGAAACAAAATACGATTGATTCCTTTTTTGAGAAGAAGGAAGTGATACAGCCTGAAAATCTTTTGCAAAGCGAACAAGAAAAAGATGTGGAAGAAGTAGCAGAAGAAGAGGAGGAGCAAGAAGAAATCCCTAGTTCAAGAGTTAAGGATCCATCTTTTGCTATAGTGGAACGAGATCTGGGTTTGCAAAATCCAATTTGGACATATCCGCATGACAAACAGGACAAGATTAGGCAAGCATATTTGACATCCGGTCCTCACCAAGTTAAACTTCCAAAATTTCCCAAAACTCGATTTGGTGATCATCTTCGCATCTTTCAAGCCTCATGGTACAAAGAATTTCCTTGGATTGAATATTCGGAAACAAAAGATGTTGTTTATTGTCTGCCATGTTATCTCTTTACGAAAAGCTTATCGCTGAATCTGGTTGGGACATATTTACGAATAAAGGTTTTCGAAATTGGAAAAAGGTTCGTGGAAAGGATTGATATTTCCAAAAGCATATTTGGACAAACCGAATTCTCATCACAATAATCTTGTGAGAAAACGTGATGCTTTGCTAGAACAATCTGGGCACATTGACAAAGCGATGGAGAGACAAACCTCTAAAGAAGTGAAGAAGAATATACTTCGTGTGAAATCTTCAATACAGATTGCAAGGGCATGCTTTTAGAGGCCACGATGAGAATATTGAGTCAACTAATTAGGGCAACTTTATCAAGCATCTTCAATTTTTAGCCGATAACAATGAAGAAATAGATAGTGTGGTGTTGGATAATGCTCCACTGAATGCGAAGTACATATAGCGTGAGATTCAGAAGCAAATTCAGCATGTCTTGGCTAAGAAGGTAAGGACCCATAACTTTGAAGAAGTGGGAGATTCTAAATTTTCAATAATTGTAGATGAGGCAAGTGACGAAAGAAATCATGAGCAAATGGCGATTGTTCTTCGCTTCGTTGATGCTAAGGGGTTGATACAAGAGCACTTCTTTGATATTGTTGTGGAAGATACAACATCAAAGACTTTGTATTCTGCAATCCGCTCAGCTCTTTCTTTCTATAAGTTCCCAATTCAAAATCTTCGTGGACAATGATATGATGGTGCTAGTAACATGCGAGGTGAGTGGAATGGATTGCAGGCATTATTTTTGAAGGACTCTCCGCAAGCATATTATGTACACTGTATGGCTCATCGTCTTCAGTTATCATTAGTTGCAGCTGCTAGAGATGTATTTTGGGTTCATGAGTTTTTCACAAACTTTTCAAGCATCGTAACTGCTGTTACTAGATCTTGTAATCGCAAAGATCAGTTAGAAGCTGCAGAAGCTCCAAAATTGCACTTCAGCTAGTGACAGGTTATTGAGACGGGAAAAGGTGCTAATCAGGTTAGTACTCTACAACGACCTAGTGATACTCGTTGGAGTTCACATTTGAGATCTATATCTAATCTTATCAGGTTGTATGGTTCAACTTGCAAAGTTTTAGAGAATATAATGAATGATGGAAGTAGCTCCAAAACTAAATGGGATGCTACTACAGTTTTAGTAAGAATGAAGTCTTTTGCTTTCGTGTTCAATTTGTTGATGATGATGAAGAAAATATTGGGCACCACTGATATGCTTTGTGTAGCTTTGCAACGGAAGTCTCAAGACATTCTCATTGCAATTAGATTGGTGGAATCTACAAAAACACTCTTGAGCGAAGTCAGAGAGAAAGAGTGGGATTCTTTGCTAGCTGATGTCATTGCATTTTGCAAGCAACATGATATTGAGGCTCCTGATCTTAATGCTCCATTTTTCAGAGGTCGATCCATTCAAAAGCGAGATGTTACAAATGAACATCATTATCATTATGATGTATTCAATGCTGCAATTGATGTTCAAATCGCAGAACTAGAGTCAAGGTTTTATGACAGAGTTGTGGAATTACTGAAGTTGAGCTCAAGTTTGGTTCCTATAGATGGGTATAAGACGTTCGACATTGCTGCTATCTGTAAGCTTGCAAAGGAGTATTATCCTCTTGATTTTTTAGAAGAGGAAATGTATACATTAGGGTTCCAGTTGGGGCTTTTCCGATTTGAAATTCCTGATCATTCTTCTTTGCAGAAGCTATCGTCTATTTCTGAGCTATGTCAGGGATTAACAGAGACATTACTGTAAAAATGACTTCTACCTTGTTGATAGGCTGATTCGTCTTCTCCTGACTCTTCCAGTTTCCACTGGTACAGGTGAACGTGCATTTTCGGCTATGAAAATAGTGAAGAATAGACTGCGAAACAAGATTAATGATGAATTTCTTGCTAATAGTTTAGTTATTTATATTGAAAGAGTGATAGCTAAAACTTTTAGTTTAGATGCCATTTTGAGTGATTTTAGTGATCTCAAAGAACATCGTGTACTTCTAAAATAAATATAAAATATTATGTTAGTTTTTTATTTAATTATTTTTGGCCCCCCGGTCTCGAAATCCTGGCTCCGCCTCTGCTAATTTTCCATGTAAAATCTCCCTGTAATTCTCTAATATTATATAGTAGATGTCCCATATTAGTTTAATTACTATTTATTTTCTAGATTTTGTTACTGAATCTTCTATTATATTTATTATTCCTTTTGTATATAATTTTATATTTTTACTAATTTATTTATTTTATTGAAAAAATTTCATTAGCCATTCTAGTAATACTATGTTTAGAAGGTTTTCTAATTTTTATATTAGATAATACTTGTTGAAATGTAGTTTTGGATGTTGTTAAAAGTTTGTGTACCATAAGTTAATTAAAAATAGAAAAAAGTTTGAGTTGGATGGAAAACTAGATAAATGCACCTTTTCACGACTTTAATGTACCCGACGCCCTATACCATATTTAGCACCCTATACTATGGTGGTATTTTTGGTCCTGAACCCCCTCCCATTGGGGAAATTTGTAGATCCAATTGACCACAATAACCCGTTCTTTCTAGACAAAAATTTTCAAAATTCGAGTAAAAAATGTAGGTGGTACGATGGTGGTAACGAGTGATATTAATTTGTTCTCAATTTATATTGAAAATTCATCTCATTTTGTAGATCACCCCGAACCCGTTTCATTTGTGCAAAAATTTTTGAACTCCAAGTTATAATGAAGAAGATAAAAGCCTATTAGGAAAACTAAGGAAAAAGTCATTTATTCTCAACCATGAGATCCAACCTCGCTTAAAATCAACGCTCATATTTGGTTGTGCAAGAGTTATGCACCCGGCTCCTGTGCTTACAACCTCATTTTTAAAAACTGCCTTCTAGTA